GATGGTGATATTACTGGTGCCTTCTATGAAGATTCTTGTAGTCATACCAATACTGAAATGGAACCATGGTGGACGGTAGATCTCAGAATGCAGTATAAAGTACATAGAGTCATTTTATTTAACAGAATAGATTGCTGTTGTAAGTACGCTTCTATAACAATTCCTGTGTGCTACAATTATTACCTGTTTCTATATCATATATGGACTGTATTATTACTTGTTTCTATATCACATATGGACTGTATTATTACCTGTTACTATATCACATATAGACTGTATTATTACCTGTTTCTATATCACATATAGACTGTATTATTACCTGTTTCTATATCACATATGGACTGTATTATCACCTGTTTCCATATCACATATGGACTGTATTATTACCTGTTTCTATATCACATATGGAGTGTATTATTACCTGTTTCTATATCACATATGGACTGCACTATTACCTGTTTCTATATCACATATGGACTGTATTATTACCTGTTTCTATATCACATATGAACTGTATTATCACCTGTTTCTGTATCACATATGGACTGTATTATCACCTATTTCTATATCACATGTGGACTGTATTATCACCTGTTTCTATATCACATATGGACTGTATTATTACCTGTTTCTATATCACATATGGACTGTATTATTACCGATTTCCATATCACATATGGACTGTATTATTACCTGTTTCTATATCACATATGGACTGTATTATTACCTGTTTCTATATCACATATGGACTGTATTATCACCTGTTTCTATATCACATATGAACTGTATTATTACCTGTTTCTATATCACATATGAACTGTATTATCACCTGTTTCTATGTCACATATGAACTGTATTATCACCTGTTTCTATATCACATATGGACTGTATTATCACCTGTTTCTATATCACATATAGACTGTATTATTACCTGTTTCTATATCACATATAGACTTTATTATCACCTGTTTCTATATCACATATGGACTGTATTATTACCTGTTTCTATGTCACATATGAACTGTATTATAACCTGTTTCTATATCACATATGGACTGTATTATTACCTGTTTCTATATTACATATGGACTGTATTATTACCTGTTTCTATATTACATATGGACTGTATTATTACCTGTTTCTATATTACATATGGACTGTATGCTAGAATGCAACAAATATAATGAGTTGCGTGCCAAACTGTTCAATAAAGCTAAGGATATGATCCCAGCATTTGAAAATAAACCTGCAGAGAAAAAATTCATGGAATTGTTACAGAATGAAAACATTATTATACCAGTAGCACAGTTCATAAGTAAAAGCTTTGAAGTCAGGAAGCAGGGTCTTACTTGACATCTTAATGCCTGCTGTCAATTTTGTAATTTTATATTAGATTGTATTTTAGAGATTTTGTATTATTTAGTAATTTAGTGATTGTATTTGTTATTTGTTATTTGTTATATTGTGTTTTTTTTTGTTTTTTATATATATATTTCTCCTTGTACTTTGTGACCATTTTCTTTCCCTCCGGGGATTGTGTAAGAGTCAATAAGTAAATAAATAAAGTATTATTACCTGTTTCTATATTACATATAGACTGTATTATTACCTGTTTCTATATCACATATGAACTGTATTATTACCTGTTTCTATATCACATATGAACTGTATTATTACCTGTTTCTATATCACATGTGGACTGTATTATCACCTGTTTCTATATCACATATGGACTGTATTATTACCTGTTTCTATATTACATATGGACTGTATTATTACCTGTTTCTATATCACATGTGGACTGTATTATCACCTGTTTCTATAACACATATGGACTGCATTATTACCTGTTTCTATATTACATATGGACTGCATTATTACCTGTTTCTATATCACATATGAACTGTATTATTACCTGTTTCTATATCACATGTGGACTGTATTATCACCTGTTTCTATATCACATATGGACTGTATTATTACCTGTTTCTATATTACATATGGACTGTATTATCACCTGTTTGTATATCACATGTGGACTGTATTATCACCTGTTTCTATAACACATATGGACTGTATTATTACCTGTTTCTATATCACATGTGGACTGTATTATCACCTGTTTCTATATCACATATGGACTGTATTATTACCTGTTTCTATATTACATATGGACTGTATTATTACCTGTTTCTATATTACATATGGACTGTATTATTACCTGTTTCTATATCACATATGGACTGTATTATTACCTGTTTCTATATCACATGTGGACTGTATTATCACCTGTTTCTATATCACATATGGACTGCATTATTACCTGTTTCTATATTACATATAGACTGTATTATTACCTGTTTCTATATCACATATGGACTGTATTATTACCTGTTTCTATATCACATATGGACTGTATTATTACCTGTTTCTATATTACATATAGACTGTATTATTACCTGTTTCTATATTACATATGGACTGTATTATTACCTGTTTCAGCTGAAAATTTAGTGAATGCTGAGGTACGTATTGGGCACAATGGTGAAAATTTCTTGGAGAACAGTGTCTGTGGAAGTCATGTGACTGCAGAACAAACTGAAAAGCCAAGTGTTGTTATAACTTGTAATCCACCAATCAGAGGACAGTATGTCAGTGTTCAGTTAATTGGAAAAGAAGGTGTTTTAACGCTTTGTGAAGTTGAAGTTTATGCTGCAAGTAAGTATCTATCATCATTAATAGATTAGTGTTGAGTGATCACCATGTCTTAAAAATTGTTTCTGGGTTTATCTGCATTCTATCCATATAAAGTTAAAATGAACATCATGTCTAGAAAGTGGGAAATATATCAAGTCACTCTCTAAGCCACATGTATATATAACAAAATCAGATCCAGGTTGATGTAACAAATTAAAGATTATGTGAATTTACACAGGCTGATATTACTAGGGCCAGCACCTTCTAGAGGCCAGTTGTTCCCAACCATACAACCGTGTCCTCAGTTTTTCAAGTTGTCTAAAATTGTTATCGCTGCTCATTGCAGATACCATTTCGTTACTCAGCATCATTTAAAAATGTTCCAGCAGAGTTCCCAGTATGTATAAAGTTGTAGTTAGCCAACATATCAGCAAATCAGGCACAAAGTCTGTCAAGATAATGACCAAATAAATGTCCTCATAAACCAGTTTTCAACCAACAATTATACAAACTTAGATGTACAAATCAACATGATACAATTGCAGCTTATTGCTATTGTTGCAGGTGAAAAATCAATTGTTTTAACAGTGTATCAG